GGGGCAGTAGGAAGCTCCGCCACTGCTCGATGATTTGTTTTAGCACAAAAATGTTATCCATGCATGTATCCACTTCGCAAATGATTAATATGATGGTTAGAATCTGGTGCTAGCTCGCATTCACCGTTAGTCGATGTATTTTGGTTATATAAAGCGGCCAAATGCCTGAAAATCAGCAGCACCCCAACATCGCTATGGCTTGTTTAGTGAATTTGCATGTAACGCGTTGAGAAGAAGGCATTAATATTCATGTTGCTTCGTGCCTTCAAACAAAAAATAGCAGACCATCTGTAGTTATAGCAGTGAGGCCAGAACTGAAAATATTTTATCCTGTTTATTAATAGTTCCTTCTAGATTACCTTAATCTTTTTTATAGCACATACATTCGTAATTAGGAAAAGACTTCCTGTGAAATGCCAAACAAAACCGAGCAGATAAATTTGTTCCATCTGCTTAAAAGACACTGATGCTAATCATTTTTATGTATGAAAACAGCAATGTCATACGTCATTATTTGTGAACCAGCGCTTAATAACGAACTGTAGGTAAACGCCTCAAGGCAATTAGCATTTTTGAAGCTGTACAGTAAGCCACATGATCAATTTTTTGACCGATGGAACGCTTGTCAAAGTTCTCTGGCGTGCGAACTAATATTCTGACGTTTTTCAATGGCACATGATGGGTTAAAGCTCACGGACCTTCATTATAAGTGGTCTGTACTCCAGCGAATAGACTGATTTGAAATGCATTCAGCACAGATGGTGATCAGTTAAGCCGTTGCCAATTAAAGGCGCAGTGTGCCATAGCATTTGCACTTCGTTAGAAACCTGACTCTGACATTCGAAAGATCCCTAAAAGCCTTCTTCCCGCCTTATCCCAGGTAAGGGATAACAATCAGTGTAAGGCTTTGCTCGGCCTGAAGAAATATGGGTGAGGCTTGTTGCCCTTTTGCCACTACGGTAACCGTAAAGACCTGTCGTGAGTCCGGCAAGTGAGGCTCTAGTGGATTCTTATAGAATCGTGACTGGCGGTCAAAACCACCCAGTGACTTGGGAAACTGGCTTCTAATTATAATATTGGAGTAAAGTTTGTTGTGAGTGTTTACTGTGGTCATCAACTGGAGCCTTTGGCATAAAGAAAACATCTAGGATCTGTAACGTATGTTGTAATAAAAGCTTTCCAGCGCATTTGCTATGAGACATCGGTTACTGTATCGTTGCACGAAATACTACTTGCTCGAAACAGATCCACTAGTACATTATTTCTCCACTTTCCACGTGGGCTGATGTAAGTGACTTATAATTAAGAAGTTTGTCTCAGAGGTTCAGCGTTCTATTCTCAGTCTCCACATTTACTGAGGTCAACTATGGCAGGAAGAGGATTGAGTAATTCATCACGTGACCCTCTCGATTCACCCTCATTATGCGTCGAGGCCAACGCTGCTGTACTTATTTCGATTATCATCTTTCCACCGTCGCTACAGCCACTGCTTGTCTGCCGTACAGGCAAAAGTTTGTAAAAAGAAATCCAATCTGACCACAGATATTGGACAGGTTTAAAAAGGCATTCAGTGTCACGTGATCTTCATATTTCGCTCTGATTGGGCAGCGCCATCGCCGGAGATGACGGAGCCGAGAGAGAATTAAACAGGTCAACTTTCTCAATCGCTTCACCTATCTGTTCTACTTGAACTTGAAGACAAGGCTGAATCATGTCGCTGCTCTGTCACTATTGACGCATCCCTCGCTCCAAAACGATACAGCATAAAAGGGCAACCGGCCAGAAGTCATATGAACTCAAACTATTTCAACATGATTACGGCATATGACTCGCCAACGCGGTGGATCGAGCACATTCGCAACGGCGGTCCGTCGACAGCGTGTACACAGTGCTGATGATTACTTGCGAACTCATAGTTGATGTTTACAGAGTAGAATATATTGAGTGCCGCATCTCACATCGTAACTGATAATGAGCAAAATATGTATTAGCGGAAGAAATCATGAATGACATATGCAATATTGTAGATAATGAACAACATGGAGTCATATCTTCCATAAACTATCACAGCATTACGTAGGTATAAGGAACGTTGGAGTGTGTGGAGAAATTCAGATTGAGAAACAGTTGATCTGTTATCTTTGTGAATGCCCTTAAAATAAGTGATCACTGATAAGTTAGTCATGCATATGTGATTTCTTGGTAACTGCTATTCACTTGTTTACACCTCTTCCTCTTTTCATATTACTTAAGTTAACGAAATATTTTCTCATAATTCTACGAATCTATTAAACTCAGATTAGACACGGTCAAACACAGACAAAAGAGAAATCAAGTCGCATACCTGATCAGAGTTTGAATTGACGCCGAGGGAGTCATTAACAAGAAAGTAAAGCATGAATGAGGATAGTAGGAGGAATAGCAGCCAAGGCAACGTGTTTTTCATGTGGAATGGTCGGTTGAACTGTCTCTCCATGCAGTAAGCAACCTAGAAAAGTACAGCTAAGGGCGACATTACTGAAATAGCACAGATAGGCATCTGAGCGATCAGCCTGCCAACATTTGAACAAACCATAAGGACGGTTATCCCTTACCGAAAGATGAAGAAGTTGAGGACGATGGAATGATTGACATTGGCAACAATCTGGGTTGTACAGTGAGAGGTGAAGTTGACAAAATGAAACAAACAGTTGGCAAATGAAGAGATTCTGTAAGAAATGTCGTTAATAAGTCAAAAATCACTCAAATACTAAGTTAATATGAAATTCAGATATGAAAAGACAGCATGTTTCTAAAATAATATCATTAGTTAAATTTTTGAAATATAAACTAATGGAACGATCATCGTAGCTCCATTTCATAAAGTAACAAGGCGGTATCTTAATTGGTGTTTTGGCAACATGAAAATGTGTATAATGTCGATTGTGTATAACTTGTTAACATAATCGCCATGAGTCGTTTGCATGTGAGGAATGCCTCTAGTTTGTGATATCCAAAGTGGTCCAGAGTGTTGAGAGTTTTAAACTTTTTTCCTCTGAGTCCTCGATTATTGCTTTGGATAAAGCAGTAATTCCTTCTTATGTTGTATTCTGACTTCCTAATCTGAATCTATTGTGTTTATGCCCAAACATGAGAAATTCGAGGATGGGAGCAAATGGTTTATGCTCAAGTAGCATTCCCAACAGAAAAAATCAGCTCTTAATTTGCATATCCACCCAGGTCACCCGTGTCCACAAGGGAACAGAATCATTCCTATTCTAGTCTCGCCATTCAGACCTTAATTTCGCATCGAAACCAGCCATCCTGTTGGAAGTTCAACCATGGTTCTTTCTTTTCCTTCAGAACAAGTGTTCCAATGCGTTCAACAGCACTGACCTCAAAGGAGCAAATTGCCTTTTTCAGTTCAGATATTACACAGGTTTCGAAAAGTGCTCGAGGATAGGGCGATATTACTATTTTGCTGAGGCTGAAACTCTATTACTGTAACTGATTGAGCCAAGAAACTCGAAATGGTCCAGTTTCTCGAAGACGTCCCTTCTCTTTGTTCCACCAGCAGATTGTCTGATGTGATTCTTATAACTTTTGGACGCTAATTAATTTTTTTGAGTGACGCGTAGAAAACGGCGAAAATGACGCGTAGCAAATGGTCATGGTCAGCGATGTCGGACTGCTATAGATTTTAATGAGGACAGATTATGCGAAGCGGCAACGTTGAGCAGGTTCGTCATTCAGTTAACTTTCTCGAACAGGACATTGCATCTTACAGAACTCAAAGACAAAGACTCTGCCTACCTCGATTAATCCGATGCTGTTATGAAAAGTTTGATTTAGGTTCAGTGAGTTGAAAGAAACCTGACATTTTCACGTACCATTTTTCATAGACATCTGGATGGCGGTTTTGAGGCTTTAAATCCAACAGATAATATGGTTGTGAGGGAGCATCAAGGCTGTCAATGAGGTTATTCTCATGTCTCTCAAGAATACCATTTTTAAATTGTTTATAAATTAACTTAAGAAGTACACAAGCCAACGTGTCAGGGAACTGCAACAGAGAACCGATGGCGATAAAGTTAAGAAAATTTTTTTGCATATGATTTAATTTGAATAACGACGCGTGAATGCTTTGGATGAACTGATTTAAGGATATAATCACGTGGGAAAGTTCTTGTAACATTCGTACCTTTCGAAGAATTCGATCGAAACGGCCAGGCCGTCGTTGTGTGTACTCAACCATTGTTGTGATGCAAAATGCGTCTTGGCAACTAGAAATGTATCACTGGTATCAACAGGATTATTTTTGGCTCTCTTCATCGCATCGATCAAAAGTTAAGTAACAATGTGAGCGAAATTCTGACCGCGATCAACTTGGGGGAAGGAGTAAATTTTTAGAGATGGGAACCGGTAATCTTATTCTTCTGCATGAGTATCAATTGTTATGAATTTAAAATTGTTGCTGACTGAGCAGTTGTCATATTTTAATTTGAAAAATAATTAATTAAGCAAACATTTCGCCGCGGTCTTATTTCATTGCCATCTTTTTGGTCCAGAATCTTCCCGTCTTTACAAGATTGACTCTTCGTTCAGCATCATGATCTTTGTTCGTCGCCAAGCACCTTATGCTGGTGTAAAAATGCTGAGGTTTCAAATATTCAAAACCAAAATAGAATCTTTCTGATGCTCTGTCAAAAAGCGTCGAATGCTCAAATGTCTGACGTAGCTCAAAACATTAAATGCTTTACTACAGGTGGCCTTATATTGATTATTAGAACTCTGCCTTTGCCGGTCTCAAGCCCGGATGGTAAGCGATGATGATGGAGAGGTCTCCAGTAAAATGCTTTGCACCTAATCCTCATGGTGTAGTCGTTATACGTCAGTTGTCGCCGTCGATGCTAATAGCCGCGCAGCCTCTTGCGGAAATAAGCCACACTGCCGAACGTCAGCAATCTGAACCAACTTCTAATGGTCTGCCACCAGGGAGCGTAGCAGCATGGCGACGGCTGCCAATCATCGACAAGAAGATGTGAAGGTACCAATCAAATCGAAGGTACCAATCAGCAATAAAGAAGCTATCACTTCTCAAGGGAGGAGGCAGAGCGTAGTGCCATTATATCACGTCAGATAAGGTTCTACGAGAACGATATCGACACTGAGAATTCAGAGTTGAAAATTCGAACATTTCCTCCATCAGACGGAAAGAGGGAAAACTAGTTGATGAAGTTGCAAGGGGGAAACTGGACTTAATTGGACTCTCGAAAACGAAGCACTGGGCCTCTCGAGTTCTGAATCTATGTAAATGGAACTATTCATTCAGCTGTCTAAATCACGACACGTGCTCAAGCGAACGTTGATGTGCTGCTCGAACCCAATCTGACTTAGAGAACATCGAATCCTCCTATCAGCGGAAAAGTGAAGTTACAACGGGGTTCATTTAACTTTTTCAGAGGTCTCTGCAATCTGCCTCTTAGAATTAGAGACAGATTGTAGGAGTCCTTCGTGGAGGAAGCAGAAGGTACTCTCTAGGAAGTGCAGACTGCGGAGTCCATCACTCAAGTGACGGAGTGCAATCAGAGCAACAACTGCAGGATGGAGATGCGTAATTACAAATAATAGCACTTGCGACCTCAACAGCAGTGACACGACGGTGTTGCGATTGCATACAGACAACAGTCTGTAATGAGAACCCTATCTGAGCATCGAAGAACGCACCAGTATACCTCGTATGCAGAATCTTATGAACAAATGTATGTGATCGATTTGATAATCGGTTCGTCTGATTCATGACGCACTGTATTCGATGTTAGCATTATGAGAGGTGGAGCTGTCAAGCGATGATCATCCTGTTGTTGGCGCAACCAGCTGTAAACGATTGAATGCCATGTAAACACCTAGCGGGAAAAAAACAGTCAGAAAATCAAATGGGAAGCATTATTTTGTGTAAACAAGAGAGCAAAGCTGGAAAACAGCATCACGGAGCGGATTGGGAATGCATCCCAGTAAACAAGCTGGAAGCTCTGCCATAGCCGCTTTCTCGGGGCTGCCGCCATACATTGTTGTTTAAACAGGATTTGCCTGAAGCCTTGAGGTCAGAAACGAAATTGTTGTTCGACACCAGGGACTCATCGAGTTCTCAGCAAGAAGAGGACTACTTTCAGAAGTTGGCACGGAAGTAAAAAGCCTTCATCTCGAATATGGTACGAAGAAGCGCGCAAAGATGCAGCGAAAGCTGATTAATGAGAAGAGTTCGTGGAGGTGCTGCGGCCAAATTTCCACAGGCAAACAGTATACTCTCGAGGGCCATGCGCCATCTAAAAAAAGGAAGTGCAAGGCACTAGCCTGAAGAACAGGTCCGAACGATGCAGACATCGGATATAACTCTTTCAACAGATGAAGACACAGCAGCTGTGAAAAGCCACAAAAGTGAATCGATTAAATCCACCCTGTAATGCTACGAAATTTAATCGAACGGTGCGTATTACAGCTAATATGTGTCTGCCAAGTCTGAATGGCGGCGAGAAACAGGAGAACAGCAGTTATTGCACTCGATCCTTCCGCTGACAGGCGTCCAATCAATGATTCTATCTACGACGTTCAGTACTACCAGAACACCAACATCAGTCTGAGCACTCGACATCATAGCGGCACCTGAGTAGAATATCTTCCACCCGCTGAGGCTCTGGACTCAACTGGAGTCCAACAAAGTCGAGTTGGCACTTTATGACCTCATCAAATAACTCTTGTTGCTCTCTCTGAGTGAGGATATGTTCCAATTTCCGACTTCGAGCTCCCACTGGTGGTGTCGTTTCCGTGGAGCCTTTTCTGACGTGCTGTAACGGCATCGCGCTGTCTGCCTCCCTCCGTTCGGAACGGGTAGGGACTCCGTTGCTGACTGGTATCTTCATCGTCGTTGCGTCGGTCTTCGTCAGCCGTCGTTGTGCTGCCACG